GTTAAAGTCCAATGAGACGCCACATAAACACCAACTATGTGGTGAACACAATGAGGTGCTGAGATGAACATGGTCTTTTAAACTAAGACACCAGAAACCGTAAATAAACAATAGCTGACAATACCAAAACAAAAAATCTGTAATATCAGCAGCGACATAAACAAAACTGAAAGGCAAATGAAATACTGGAGAAAATCTGTGCACCATCCTTCCTGACTGACAGATCACCTTCCCATCCTGTGGTCATTTGTCAGCACACACTTTCTAGCAACCGCAATGCTGTACCTAAGAGCTGGCCACCAGAATTATGAAGCGACAGGTCTTGAATTTTATCAATACGCGGGTAACTGCTTATCTGTTTGAATTTAAGCAGTTACAAATCTATGTAAAAGGGTAACTAAGGAAGCAAATATGTGAAATATTCTCTTAATTCAGCAAAATGTTTTAACTCCGTTTTTTGAGCCTTTATAAAAATTTATATTTTTCTTTCCACACTGTATATTTAGAAACTTCGTGCCTTTTTTCCATAATTTCAATATCTGTTTCTCTACCAAACCAAACCAAGAAACCTAGAAAAGTAAAAATACAACATACAGTATGAGGAAACCATTAGAATTTGGAAGCTGGAAGAAAACAATACCTGAGACATTTCAGCCAGGTATGCACGGCGCTCATTGTTGGTCTTGTGGTAAGCCTGGAGGATGGATACAAAAGCAAAGAACTCAAATGAGGTAAAATTAGCAATACTAGCAAGATAATTGCTCAGTTAAGGTTTATGACTCTATCTTGTTTTATTTAAAAATCGAGTAAATAGTTTCAATAAGCATTTTGTGACGATAAGCATATGTATGGTAGTAGGTTTGCTGACAGCATACTAAAAAAACTGGCAATTTTAGAGGAATGGTTCAGTATGAAAACAAACCTTTGATTCTTGTTCTAATCTAAGTGCGTAGTCTTTCACTTGATTTTCAAGGCTCCTTTTTTCTTTTTCTAGCTGTTTAAGTAATGTATTTAAGGATTCCTGAAAGTATAAAAAGTAAATTTTTACATGTACCCATGTTCTAACAACCCTAAGAGACGATCAATTTCTTCACTAGTGAAATGCTGTGTATCCCTAGCAACCTGTGATCCCATAATTCTGTAATATGGACTTCCACCCAAAACACTGCAGTCCATTTTCCATGCAACAGCCAGAAAGATCCTTTCAGGAGCAAATGAGATCATTGCATTCCTTTGCTCAAAACTTTTCAGTGGTTTCCCATCTCATTCAGTGAAGGCAGAAGTTCTCACAGTCCTGGCGTGGCTCATCACCTGGCTTTCTCACCTCCCTCTTGCTCACCCTGCTGTAGCCACACTCGCGTCTCTGCTGCTCCCTCCGTCTGGAAGTCTTCACCCATACACTGGTGTGCCTCAGCCCCTCACTTCGTTCAGGCTTCTGTTCAAATGTTTTCTCATTGGTTTCCTTCTTGGACTCCCCTTATAGAAAATACCTTCTCCCAGTACCCCACACACCCTTTTAATTTTTCTCTGTAACACTTATCACCCTCTGACATACCATAAATCTACTTTATTTTCTGTTTTCTATCACTTAAACGCAAGCTCCAAGAGGGCAAAGACTTGGTCTCTTTGTTCCTTGCTATATATCCAGTACCTAGAAGAGTCACTGAATAGCCACTGAGCACATACTGATATTCAGTAATATTTACTGAATGAATGAGTCTTTGTGAAGCTAGACTTTGGGGAGCTATGAGATCTCATCCTTAACCAAAAACGAGATGAGTGAAATAATCTTCTACGTCCAGCTCAACCAACTTGAGTCACGTGATGCTGTTTGAAACCTGCCCCTCTGACTGTCCCATCACCTAATGAGTGATGAATACCTCCATCTCCTTCCACATGTGGAAACTGATATTGATCTTAAATCATGGTATATTGATTTAACGCTGGATCTGTTCTCCCACTAGTTCTGGTCCAGACAGCCCTGGATTCCTAAAGTATGCCCTAGGGTTAGCGCTAGGACTAAGGCTAGGGATAAAGTTAGGTTTACATTTAGTGTTCCAGAAACAGTCTAAATGAATGACACTTCTACCAGCCTTGAACTGCACCTAGAAACTCAAGTCTCACTTCAAACATGCTCTAAATTGTGGCTTGAACCTTTAATCAGGACCACCTGAAGGTTTCATGCTCCAAGTACAAGAACAGGTGTCTGGAGGTTGGGAGTTGGAATATGCTGGTGAGCCCAATACAAAGCCCTTAAAGAACTACTCTTACATAGGAAGTAGGTTCTGGGCTCTGGGCTCTGCATAAAAGGACCACCTCACCATATGTCCAGTTAGTGGGCTTGGCTTCCTGAACCACCTACCTCTCAAATTTTGTATGCCCGTCATCACTTCCTTTCTTTTTACTCACCTGGTTACTAACCTTGCTACTTATTCAGTCTGTGTAATCTTTACCTCCTGCCTTTAATTCATCATGTCTCTATGTGTGGTAATGGAAAACATGTTGTCCTTGGTTTCTGTGAAGTAACCCTGGGAGTAATTGAAGTGTCTTTATCTGAAACCTCCAGACCACGCCTGAGGATCTGTGCTAGAGTGGGGGCTGGCCAGACCAGAAAAGACTGACCCAGTAGACCAATGTCAACTAACCTCTGGAAGCATGACTTAGCCTATAGTGAATATGCAGTAAGGACACAATAGTGACTGGCTGATAAAAGCCCTGGACAAGGAGGCACATGGAGCTTCCTGGCTGGTGAAGGGAGGGTGACATGCCCTCTTTGGGATATGGAAGCTCTGTGTTGGGAACTCTCCCAGACCTCACCCATGAGTCTCTTCCTCCTGGCAATCCTGGTATGTATCTTTTTGCTATAATAAATCTGTAAGCATAAGTATAGAACTTACTGTGAGTTCTGAGTTATTCCAGCAAACTTATCGAACCCAAAGGAGCACGGGGAGCTAGCAGGTGAAAGTGAGGGAGTGCAGGGGAGGCCTCCAAGCTTGCAGGCTGGCATTCTGAAGGAAAACCCTGAATCCGTGGCCAGCAGGTTAGAAGTCTGGGGTGTCGCATGGACTCCCCAAACTTGTGGCTGGCATCTGCCTATTTGGCAGTCGGGAGAATGGTGTCCTTTTCACTTGTGAGATCTGCCCTAGTTCTGGATGCCTAGGGTCAGAGAAGAAGGTAGGGCAGCTGGTGTCACAGATAGTGGAGAAGAGGGAAAAATGGGTATTTGATTACACCTCCAATTTGGGGATCCAGTTGATGCTGCTTATCCACAACCCTCACAGTTCACAGCCTAGGCTTTCATCTAACTACATCATTATCTCTGGCTCGATATTGCCATTGTGTAACGTAACACCCCTTATAGCTCTGCTCAGCTGCGGAGCCCTTGTCTGTACATTACCCAATATCTTAGTTTTGAAGATGAAACCTGGAGAGCGTGCTTACTGCCCCTATCCCCATGTGAGGGAGTAATATTCTGCCATTATACCTGTAATTGGAGTGGAATTTCAAAACAGCTTTCCATAAGAAATGGTCTCAATCACAGGAAGCATGAACAAACAGGGAAAACCATGTCTGTAATCCCACTGTTTTAAATATATAAGGAAGATCGAAGAAGAATTGATGCCTTTGAATGGTGGTGTTGGCGAAGAATACTGAATATACCACAGACTGTCAAAAGAATGAACAAATCTGTCTTGGAAGAAGTACAGCCAGAATGCTCCTTAGAAGCAAGGATGGTGAGACTACATCCCACATACTTTGGACATGTTATCAGGAGGGATCAGTCCCTGGAGAAGGACATCATGCTTGGTAAAGTAGAGTCACCGAAAAAGAGGAAGACCCTCAACAAGATGGATTGACGTGGTGGCTGCAACAACGGGCTCAAGCATAACAAGGATTATAAGGATGGTGCAGGACTGAGCAGTGTTTTGTTTTGCTGTACATGGGGTTGCTGTGAGTTGGAACCGACTCGACAGCACCTAACAACAACAACAACATTGTTTTAAATACAATATAAAAAGAAAGCATAAATAACAGGCAGGTTAATCTCCTAAAATATCTTATAATAAATTCATGAATATTTTATAAAAATAATAATTCAAATCAGCATTGAAAGCAATAAAAAGTAAATTTAAATAGTGGAAAAATAAATTACTAAAACAAAAGACAAACTGAAGAAATAAAAAAACTAAAAATAATTAACAAAGTTGAAATTGAAGGAGAGAAGATGACAGATGTGGAAGACAGGATATGAAAATCCAACCTCTGAATGGTAGTGCCTGGAGGAGAAGACAAATCAATACTATCAATAATCAATGTTTAATTAGAGAATACTTCCTAAGTATAGAATTATAATGAAGTTGACAATTGACAGAGCGCTCTGTGTCCCAAATTAAGAAAATATAACAAAACCTAAACATAGCTCAACTGAATGAATGCCTACATTTCTAAGAAGAACAAAGCATTCTCCAAGGTCACAATAAGAAAAAATAAATTTAAAGGAATTGAACCCAAGATAAGTTTGTTCCTGTGAACTGAAAAAATGTTAGGTGTCAGTGAAGTGGTAACTTTAGAATCATGGAAGAACGGTAACCTAAAAATAGCCAAGCTCCTGATGGGCTGGCGGTCGGAAAATCGTTTTCCTATCTGAAAACTTCCTGAGAACATACTTCCCAAGTATTTCTTTCTGCAAAGATCACTGCAGAGCGTCTTCCAGGTCCACTCTTCTACGAGGGAAAAGAGAGCGAGAGAAAGGACACTCTTGAATAGGAAGACTACCATGGAAAAATAATAATAACTCCTGGAAAAATAACTAAAAACACAATTTAGAGACAAGTAGGAGGTACCACAATGGGTTATGTGTTCCAGATAGAAGAAAAGGGAATGAGAACAGTGAAAAGACGGGGCAGAACGACGCAGACAGAAGAAAAGGACAAAACATGAAGGCGGGAAGAGGGAGGAAGAAAGACATGAGGAGATACTGATCGGACAACAGTTAGAAGAGGGGAGATGGATGAGAGAGGTAGTCCAAAAAGGAACCAAATACCTATCTCTAAAAGAAAACACAGGCGCAGACAGGGTGTTTATGCCATAGCAGAATTCCATGACAGCTTTTTAGCTGCCTACTGACCACGAGATTCAGAGACAAGATCAGATGGAGTTTGCATTGCGTGGGCCACTAGACAGATTCAGGCTCATCCCACTTTTTCTCTCTCTGTAACATACTGTCGCCTAGGCAACTATTCATAATTCAATTTTTTAAGTTCATCAAAGTCACATTCATATTTTTACATGAAAAAATCAATGAATGACAGATCATAAGCTTCAGAAACACCAGATGAGAAAAAGGTATCTAGGCCCGTATGAAAATTTCATTGCAAAATTATTAAAACTTGTCAGAATTATCAGCTTTAGGGACCAACTCTTTATCAAGCAACTACGAATTTCAAAGCTAGTGCTGGGGAAAGGGGAGAATAAGACATAATTAAATTAGCAATTCCAATAAAGTACAAGGATTTTAGCAGGGGAAGAGAGAAAAGAATACTATATCCTCAATAATCTTCTGGAGGCACAGTTCTCCTTTCTTGAAAGGTCAGAGTCGTTCTACCATTTCTACAATAATTTGGTGACAGACATTTTGGGTTAGTTAACTCAATGCCTACAACCCAAGTCACTTCTCTCTTGCCTTCCTCCAAAACAGAGGCTGGAAAAGCTAAACAGCTGCCTTCCTGGCGGTCAGTGGTGGCCATGATACAAAGGTATGAACAGTTAATGGGTTTTTTCCTACTCATTTCTGCCTTGAGTGAAGAGATACTGCCTGGAACTATGGCAGCCATCTTTCTATACTATACGGGAGATGCTGAAACCATCACAGGGACGCTTCATTGTCCACCCACTGCCCCGCGGTCATCTGCTTTCAGACTTGTTGATACATGGAGGGAAAATACCTTATTTTTTTTAAACCATTGTTAGTTAGGGTTTTTGTTACTTGTACCAAAAGACATTCCTAACTGACATAAGCAA